ATTCGACATATTACGTTCACAACGGGTAATACTCAAGGTACAGCGCCTGATACTTTAACTCAGACACGCTCCCGAATACATAATGTATTGAAAAAAGTAAATTAGTTTGACAAATCTCATCCGCCATCGCGGCATTTTCTTGATGAAAATTTAATGGTTTTCAGCTTCTTTCAAAAAAAAAAAAAAAAAAAAAAAGCGTGCTGCAGCATGGGAAGCTAGGTAAAGAGTGCGTGTCTAATAAAAGCAATAAATTTCGGTGACAACAACAACTGCAACGATTATCCGCTGTGCGTAGTGTTGAAAACATAATTGGACTTTGTCAAAGCCGACGACGTTGGTGGGTGACATGATGACATGAATAGCCAACTGCAGCTGGCGGAGATTAAAATTATCTACCTGCATACATACATATGTACATATAATTTTTATATTTTATGTGTTGTACTTCCATATTGCATTATGAGCCTACGCTGGCGACTTATAACATCTACAGACTGCGAACTAAGCGATTTCTGAAAAAGGTCTAGATTCAGATATAGAGATACACGTCTGCTCGTAACCAATCCAAGGCTCATATGAAGTTCGGCGTGTATGGACTGGCGGCCTTTTATTGAGGTCACTACTCTCAAATCCTCTGCCTGAACAGTCTGGTCTGTATACCTGAACATCCCATGTTTCTATCTATTCAAAAACTATTACGTACACTAGTTGAGCTTTTCTGTTTATTTCCTTTCTTCATGAATTAATACCATTAAAAATGTTAGAAAATTACCACCAATAAAGTACTTGATATAAGTTGGAAACCTTCATATTCTGAAGGTTATCATAAACCTTATTTGAATTTAGATCTCCTCATTTTCCTCCCAAGCTCTTTCTTTGGTATCAAGCCCATAAGATTGCCGTTTGTCATTGGCCCATGATGCATGCCAATGGTGTTTCAATGATGTAGGTGGTATTAAGTATGTATGGCTTTTGCGATTACGTCAAACCGAAAAAACTCACTTATGACTTTTTCTATCAAGCACCGTTAATTAGTTGGTGCAGTGCGCAGACATGAAATTCTGTACCTGACCGCACATAAGTAGTTGAAATCACTTACAATTGAAATTGCAACAAAAAACAACAAATTGTGGTTGTTGTTGTTGCTATAACTAACTAAATGCGATATAACAATTGAGATTCCGCGAACGCATTAAATCCGTTAACTAATGCGAATTTATACCATCAGCGCCCACAGAGCCAGCAAACGGTGTGAAGCGGACGGACGTCCGTCACCACCAACAACAACAGCAGTCGGCTTAATGTATGCAATTTTAAATGAAAATCTAAATTAATTCTGTAGTTGTATACATGTGTGCGTGTGTGTGTGTGTGTGTGTGTGTCCATTTAGAGGACTATGTATGTATATGTGTGTGTAAGTGATTAAGTTTTTAGTACCGTCGTCCGGCACTTTGCCTTAAACACTCTTTACACGATTCACACCTCGCGAGCTATTGGCACGCACTTACATACTCGTATATATGTACATATGTACATACGTACATACGGGTACAAACTAATGTCTTTTACGCTGCTGTGTGGCATGGCACATCGATGCGTTGCACTTTTGCACTTTTAATAAAAATCCGTAATTTATGATTTTTTATGCTGCCTGCCACATAATTTCATATCAAATGCGAATTTATGTTGTTGTTATTACAAACAATAAAAACTATGCTTGTACCTACATATCTACTTACATATGTATTAATGCATACATTTGTAGCTAGTTATGCACATACTAGTACATACGTGTACATACATACATACATACGAGTATGTATTGCATATTTCCTTTGCCATGCTCATGCGATTGTTGTCGTCGTTGTGTTTTTGTTTTTGTTGTTGTTGTTGTTGTTGTAAGTAAAGGTGTCATTTAATGCATTTTTTCACTTTTGTTACAACGTTTCGCCGCCAATGGAGCTGTGTGAGGCTCGCCCTGCTGGCCAGCCCAAGAGCTCATAATTTTGACGGCATCAGGACCCCTCCAGGCCGCTGCTGGAGGGCGACAGTAAAGGGTAATATGTAAATGTAAATTATGCGCCATGAAGTAGCAAATTTATGGGCGCTTACATAATTTACTTAGTCACACTCATACAAACATGAGTACATAAGTTCGTATGTACATGTAAACTAGGGATTTTACTAAATACCAATTTGTTTTCTAAAGTTTTCCAAACGGAAACTTGACTATTTTATGTAGGATTGAGAAGAAAAAGAGCCAAACATCTAATCCCAACTTAAGCGGAGTTCAAGTGCAATTTAATAATTAGTTTAACTTGAAAAATGTCGGCATACGTCGTTAGAGACTAAGAAGCTAGAAGAAAATTCTAAAGGCAAATAACTCAAAGCGTGAATGAGTCAACCTGGCGTTGGAGTTGCAGTGGAGGGAGGAAAAGAAACAAGTCATTAAAAAATTCCCCATGACTTTTGAGCTAACATCTTAAATGTTGAATAAAATATCGTCTGCTATTTACAAACATTTACATACATATAAATGCATATATTTGAGTTTCTAATTGAAAATACAATGTTACAATATATTCCATAGTGTTGATGTTTATGTGATATATTACTATGTGATCTGACATGCTTTAATCGTATGATGATTTTAAGCTGATGGTCTCAGGGCAATATGTGGTCAATAAAGTTGTGAAGCTATGTGGAATTAGGTTAATGTGATATGGCATCACATGCACGCATCATATGATGTGATCATGCTAACAGATTTTTTCGAACATATTGTTTTAGAAATACGATCTGTAGTATATCAAAATGATGCGACGGTAATAATATGCAGTTATTGATATCATATGATGTGATTGATTTGATTATTTAGTCAAGTGATTTATAGTGATGTGATTAATTACATTTAAGGTGATTCGATATCAATTGTCAGGGATTGCGATCATGTATCAACTAAGGCGTTAGGGGACGTAAAATTTCGCAAAACATGTACAAATTTTACTGTAATTTCAGGTGATGCATGCTAATGTACTGATATGATGTCATGATTTCAGTTGATTTGATGTAAAGTAATGTGATATGATTTGATATCGCGTGATGTATATTTTGTTAAAGCAGAGACGTTTACATATAAACTAGTTTTAAATTTTTTAAATTTAAGAAAACCATTACTTTGGATCGTCTGCAAATATGGTAGCAATGCAACAACACATAGCGCTCGTCTGTCATCACCACAATTGATCGCACCACAAAAGCTCAATCTTGCCATTTATCAACCTGTGCATGGCCAGCACAATTCCGTCATGCAATTAATTTGTTAGCCCGTTCATGTACTTGAGTAATTAAAATTTGTTACATAAATCTTTTGTCAATTGTAGTAAATTTAGTGCAAAAATAAATAATATTGATTAGCATGGCGATAGGGAAACAACCGAACTTATTTTTTACAACCGCAAATATTTAAATAATTCATAAATAATTCGATTTAGGTAAAATCAGTGCTAGTCAATTAGTTTCGTGCTTATGAATAAATCAGTGCTTTTATACAATATGTTATTCAAAAATAATATTGTATTATACATTTTTCATATATACTCATATATATTAGAATTGCGTACTGTAATTCGGAAGGCCTGGGCTCAAATCCTGGTTCAATCAACATGCAAAAGTTATAGGAAATTAATTTAAATATAAAACATAAGTTAAATTTACTAATTGCGGTCGCCTCTCGGCAGGGAATGCCGACCCCTCCAAGCTCCTCATAAAAGAACCATCAGCCGTTCGGAGGCGGCTTAGTATAAATTGTAGCTCCTTCATTTGTCGGAAAGACGTCTTAAGTATTCACTTTCTTTAATCACATGTTTAACAGCAACAAAATTTTATTAACTTTATATTTGGTCAAATAATTCAAACGCATATTTTATGAATAATTCAGTTTCACTTTTCGGGTTTCACAATGTGTTATTCATTGCTTTTATTTGTCTGTTCTCACGCCACCTTAATTGACAATTTATTAAATGCGCTAGAGGAATTTTAAATTTTAGACACCTACAACATAATTAAATATATATATATGTGTATAGTAATGACGTCGCAAATTAACCCATATTTGCCGAAAAAATTTAATTAAGCCATAAGTACAGTTCTGCATGACAGGAAAATGAAATTAATTGAAAAATATTTTCATTTTTTAAAAAAATATAATAGAAATAAGAGAGCACCGTAATTCTAATGCTAGCTTATTTTAATATTTTCTACGGTAGTTCATAAAATATTATCACATAGAAAATAATTTTCTTGTCGAACAATAAACTTTTAAATGTTTAAGCGAAAATTGGAAATAAAACACCGAACGTGATCTATTGTATAATACAAATCTTGACATATTTTCGTGCCCTAAAGTATTTGCGATAAAAGCAGTCGATTTTTCTTAGGGCACAATTATTGAAAGTTAAGTTTTTTTTTGTATCAAATTTGACTTATCAGGCAAATAATTAATAAAAATGAGACTTTCTTACGAGAATCTACTATTCACCTGGATTAAAACAGTTAAAAAATCTAATTTTTTTGAATGTTCTTTTCCCATCGCAATGAAGATATTCGCACATGTTTGTGTTTTGTGGCTTTACTTTTGCCACCGACTGTTTGAGAGCGTTCAGCAAACAGCGACTGTGAAATAATTTACCGATCACCTGTCTCTTCCATTTCAATTACACGTTGCTCTGTTAGAATCAAGAGTATACGTGTACATACATATTTACATACATACATTTGCAGTCTTCTATTCATATCTTTAACGATTCGCACATACAAGTATCTACATATAGCAGTATAGCAGTACTTACGTGTATTTTGTATTGAAATTCTTTTCTTGCTATTTGTTTTTGTATTGAATTATTTTTTATAGCTTTTCCAATGCTTGGGGTTTTCAATATTATATATATTTTAGACACACATATATATATATATATAATACATATAAATCTCGCTTTCAGCCACCCAATTCTGAGCTTAAATGAGCTTAGTTCAGTCGGTACAAAGATACGATAACGAATTGTCACAAAGTTTCTCAATACGCGAGTCGGTGAAAAACAAAAAACATAAGCAAACGGAAATCTTTAACATTTTGCGTCGCAGCGGAAAGCAGTTTAGAAACTTTAAATTTTCAGGTAGCTTTTCCAAAATTTGTGGGATTTTAAGGAAGTGTTTAAGTTTAAGTTTGGAAAAATTTGTTGTTCATTCAAAAATATTATTAAAAAAAAAGTTGGTGTTCATGTTGTTTTTTTTTTTTTAATTTCCGCATCAATCTATTAAATATCTTTATCTATATGTTTAGCTGACTGCCGGCATATCGGTGGATTATGAATGGATTTCGGTGTTCAGTGAAGAGAAATTACAAAATAATTTATTCTTGCAAATTATGAAATCCCTATTAATTACAGTTAAAAAGAGCGCTAAGTAGGTGAGAAAAATTACAAGCTCAACTTCCATCGCAAACAATTAAAGTATAGATTTTATTGTTCATAAATAAAAGATTATCGTAGCCGATTCCTATGCCACCTTTAAAAATATCGGTCCAGTAAAATTTAAGCCATTATTTTTCAAATATGCACCGCTTTGTTATATTTTTTGCCATTTCTCATTATACCTCTCTCATAGAAATTCTTGCCCCTATTGGAACAAAATTGGGACAAAAGATTTTCAGAAGCTTCTCTTGAGGTAAATGCTTCACCAGCCAAATCACAGTAACAGGAAGAGGTAATCACTCCCGGACTCCCTCTGGCCAAAGCTGAGCGTTTCTGGGCGATTCCTACCTCTCTCTGTCAGCCTACTTGCTGACTGCACTGGTCCAAATTAAGGCTTAGCCGGCTTGGATACCGTTTGTGCCGGCTCATTGGCTTTCAATCTCGACCGTTTTCGGTTGACGTTGCTATAAGTGATCCACTTTTCGTCAAAATTCACCATCCGTCTCAGAAATGGGTCGATTTTGTTACGATTCAGCAGCGGTTCGCAAATGGAATTCGGCCAATGGTGTTCTTTCTACTACTCACTAATTCATCTGACGCCCATACATCGAACTTTTTTGTGTATCCAGCCTTTTTCAAACGGGTTTGAATTGATTTTTGTGCAATGTTTAGCTCCTACGCAATCAAAATAGTGCTCGCACGACAGTCAGAGTCCATGGTTTCCATAATTTTTTCGACATACATTTAGCCCTCCACACCAAGGAGCATCTTTACATTAAAATTACCGAAACGAAATCGACTCAACTGAAATTGTGCACGGTTAACCGTTACAGGGCTTGCGTTTTCGCCTTTATGGAAGAAAACTTGTGGAGTAAAGCGAATTTTCTTTTTACCGTTGTCCGTCTTGGACATACTCTCAAACACCACTGAGTTAAATGCTCAACATTTCTCCACTTCTTACTAAGTACAAAATATCATCTTCCTAACGCCATCTGGCGTGATGCAAATACATTTACAGAACTCGAGATTCAGATCACTAAAGACTGAAAAACTGGCTGCAAAACAGCACATACCACCCATTTTTTATTTGAAAACATCGGTCTTCGATACAACTAAGCCTCTACCTTCCCACATGCAATAAAGCTGACAAGAGAACGCAGGAAAATTAAAAAAGGTGTAAATACACGTAGTCAGTTTATTGAATTCATAAGACAACCCGTGAAATAATTTTATACCGATTAATCAACTTAGAGTCACTGATTAGAAAATCTGCTTTATAACAATCTTGTTTTCTATATATTTCTTGGAAATTTGCAAAGTGTAGTATTTTCAATGAATTTCTCATGTACGAGTATGTGTGAATGAATGCACGACATAAGAAAGCTATTCGTTACAAGCCACGTTCAACAATTTATATTTAGAAAAAATACGGTTGAAGCCCAGTAGGGAAACTTCATAGAGAGTCAGACCCTATCCAACACCTGAAATCAAATTTCCTTTTGAAGACCGTCGCCCCTACTCCAAGTAAGTTCAACCCTTACCTAGCGCAAAATCTGTAATGAAAATACAACAATTCGACCGAAAATCGCTTCAGTGGCTAAAAGCGCCAGGAACAAATTAGCGCTAGGTGGTTATGCATAATTAAACTTTTTTCTTCCGGAGAAACTAAGAAGTTCTTGACAGACTAGCATTAGTAAATTTAAAATTGCTAGTATTTAACGAAAGCTTGTAATTTTTAGAAAAACCTTAAGAATATGCAGCGATTCCGAAGACAACATCTCAATTCGCTCTCAGCACTTGTGGGACTTATCTGCATGGATTTGATTGGCACCGTAAGCGCCTATAGCCAAGTAAGCACGGATACTTACAGTGAAACCATAGCTGGTGACGTTGTAGTTTATCTCAATTCAAGTGAGTGAAAAACAAAATTTTAGAGATTGAAAACAGGTCTTAAAATTTTTTCCAATATTTTCTCTATTTCTCCCCATAGCATTCTGGCGATGTGATCGAGTGTCCTGCCCGGCTGGCACCGAGCAATGTTTGGTCACAAAGACAAACTCACCGTCTATTCGTGGACAGCTAATACGACAAAATATTTGTCTCTCCGCTGAAAATCGGAAACTAATTGATGAGACTTTTACAGAAAAAATCAAACCAAATACGAAAATTGACTTCAAGTTGATTGTAACCAGCAGTGGCTCGTCTATACTGCAAGGCCACTCGAATTCCGTGTACTCAAGTGAGACCATATCAACTAATGCGGCAGCGAATGCTGAAATAATTAATAAAAATATCGCAAGAGCTCTAAAACAAGCCGGCGAAGCGGTGCGCAAAAGTATCCAAGAAGCGCAGAAAGAAATTGTGGAGGCTTTCGGAAACGTTGGATTTTGGAGGTAGATGGCGAGGAGTGAAAATGTGTTGTCTGAGTAGATATCACTTTTATTGGCTGGATAACTTACTTGAAAGGGTCTTTTCAACCAAAACAAAAATAAATGCTGTGAATTTCATAACTAAGTTTTATTTATTTTAGGACTTTAAAGGGATTTCAGGAAAGGGATTTCCATCTTATCGTTCACTTGGCTTGGAATCTTATTTAGCTCCTGGGTATATATACTGTTATACCTATATATGATAGCAGTACGTAGTATCAAACGGAAGGCTCTGATATTTTTTCTAATTGCGGTCGCTCCTCGGCAGATAGTGTCAACCACTCTGAGCGTATTTCTTACATAAAATCAAAAACACCCCATAAAAATCCAGCGGCCGTTCGGAGCTGCATTAACTGCATATTAACTGCAGGACACTCCATTTGTTACAAAAAAACATTGACATGCACTCACATATTAAAAGAGGAGCTTGGCTGAAAATTGATTCATTGGTTACAAGCCATCAAATTTATCACTCACAAAGGAAAAAAAAAAACACATTAAAAAATTTTTAAACGAAAAAGGTGAATTCAAAAACTAATTTCAAACTATCTACTTATTCATTTCGCTCAGAGACCAAGAGAAGCAGAAAAAGTACAGCTCCTCTACTGAAAGTCTGAGAATATTTCATCCTACTGACCACTCGACTCATCGACGTCCTTCATATTTGCTCTAACGATCTCTTGCACTTCGGGCCAATCGCCTGGAGCAATAGTCCCATTTATACTCTGCAGAGATAAACTGTAATCCGAAGTCCACACCGACTTTGCACCTGCATATGACTCCACGAATACATACACGGTTTTCGGATTTAACATAGTCTGGGTGTATGTCAAAATAAGACCCTTAATGTTGCGGTCGCTATCAAAACAGACGTTAGTACACATCAACTCGTTCGCAATGTTGGGTGTGTTAAGCCTCCAAATCTGACAACCAAATGTGCCGGAAGGGTAAGTGCGTCTGTCGCAGGTCCAAATGCCTGAAACTGAGGAAAAATACGCGCTATAGGGAAATTTTACGAAGAAAATTTATTTGAAATCTTACCATTGTTGTAGTAGAGCACGACATTGTCGATATAGGAAACACCGGGCACATATTTCGCTTCGAGCCGGCAGCATACGGTGAGCAAGGTGATGCAGAAAATATTAATAAAGCTCGGCATCGTTGTACTGTAAGAAAAAAAGGAATATTCTAAAGAAAGTCTGCTCCATTGCTTCGAAAATCGCCAACCCACCTTAGTCTCTTCAAGCAGTTTATAAGTTATAAGTCAATTAAATCTCATAACAGATCATAAGACGACGCATGAAATAATTTTATGCCGATTAATCAAGTCAAAGTCACTGATTAGCAAATCTGCTTTATTACAATCTTGTTTTTCATATATTTCTTGGAAATTTGCAAAGTGTAGTTTTTTCAATGAATTTTTCACGTATATGTGAGTGAATGCGCGACATAAGAAAGCTATTCGCTACAAACCACGTTCAATAATTTATATTTACAAAAAGTGGGAATGAAACCCAGTAGGAAAACTCTGTATCATTCACCACTCACCAATGTAAAAATTTAAAAAATTTCTTAATGAAAAAAGTGGAAACTTGAAATTTCATATTTCTTTCTATTTATTTCACAAGTGAACAAAAAAAGAAATTATCTTTTTAATAAGCATTCGACTCATCTACATCCCTCATATTATCTCTAACGGTCTTTTGCACCTCTGGCCAATCGCCGGCAGCGATGGTCGCATTTACACTCTGCATAGATAAGCTGTAGCCCGCAGTCCACACCGACTCTGCGTCCACATATGAGTTCACTAATATATTAATGGTCTTCGGGCTTAGAATAGCTTGAGGGTATGACGACGTCACCACAGTGTTGCGGTCGCTATCATAACAGACGTCAGTACAAATCAATTCAATCGGTCTGTTAGGATTGTTGCGCTTCAAAATCTTGCAACCAAACGTGCCGGATGGACAAATGATTCTGTCGCAAATCCAAATGTCTGTAACTGAGAAAAGATTATTCACTATGGCGATGTTTTTTGTGTGGAAAATCAATCAGAAATCTTACCATTGTTGTAGTTGAGCACGACATTGTCGATGTAGGAAACACCGGGCACATTTTTCGCCTCGAGCTGATAGCACACGGTGAGCAAGGTGATCCAGAAAATCTTAATAAAATTCTTCATAATTTTTCTGCAAGAAAATAAAATACTCTAAAGAAAGCCTGTGCCGTGTCTATAAAAATCACCAACCCACCTTAGACTCTTCAAGCAGTTTACTGTCTACTTCACTTTTTAGTACTGTTACTCTTTTTATGCTTCTATTGTTTTGGAAATTTTTTCAAGATAACAGTATCATTCATTGTGTGCTCGCGCCGATAACAATGATTATACATTTCAGTTCAGCCAAACGAAACATGTAATTTGATGTTTTTACATTAACAATTAGGACGACTTGGAGGATCTGACTCACTCTCAGTCACACGTAGATCGCTTTGACTGAGTTGGGTTTTCTGGGCTCTTAAGAAGCGACAAACTTGTTGTTTTTTGTTCGATAAAGGGTGGTAATTATAAAATGGTCGTGGAAAGTCAAACCCGATACATGTCGTAACAGAAGCGATCATCAGCAGGCGCGCTGAAAATCCTTCTGTTTGGTTTTCGAACAAATTGTTGTGATGAAACTCCTCACCATAAATAAAACAATGCTGCCGTTTGCAGCTTCTGTATTACATGTATGTACATATTATATTTGCTCAGTCTCGGTTCTTACGCCTAAATGTCCTATTGATCTGCGACCAACTATTATCCATTGCATTTATCAAATTTCTAGTGTCTTGCTTTAAAACCGAAAAATTCTGGGGCTCCAATGATGCATTGACAAACTGCGACTTCAAGCCATAAGAGATGGACCAATCCAAAGTCGCGTTGACGCGCGAATGCAATGCCACATATACCGAACTTGGCTGTGGGGCCGGCATATTTTCCGGCTGTGAGTGCGAGCCTGTAATATTCCAATTGCGATCATAGCAGATGTTTGTACGATTCAACAGATGTGGCCTTTTGGGATCGTTCACCTTTAAAATCGTACAAGCGTAGGTGGAATTGGGACAAATAAGCAAGTCACATCGCCAAGTCCCTGCAAAGGTCAACACAATATTGAAATTTTGGCTAGCGGTTGACTCAACATCCACACACACTCACCATTTTTGTAGTTTAGTTCCACATCATCCAAATAGGAGTAACTGGGTATGTAAAGAGCCGTAGTGCTGCAGACGAGGACGAATAAAGCGATGCCGGAGCTTCGCAGCAATCGGGCGACCATCGAGCTCTGTAGTTTAGGTGAATATTCTGAAGACTCTTAAGTCTTCTTACAGTTCGGAGGCGTTATAAGTGCATGTATTGTAGTGCTACTCCCATTTATCGTTCAGTACGCTATTGGCTAGATATTTATCAAAGCTTCTTAGCAGCTGCTTGGACACTTTTGGTTAATAAAAGAGCAATCAATTATTTTAACTAATCAAAAAATAATAAAATGTGCAGCCGACAACTTGAGCTTCAGTTTCCTGCAGTGAGTTTGATTTCTTGCTTATTTTCTCATTATTCATTTATTTATTCACTTTTAGTGCATGAGTTTAAAAGGACAGAGCCACAGAGCCAAAAGACTTGACTTATTTTGTTCTTTGTTTTCGCAAAGGTCCAACAAACAAAGTGAGTCATTTTATAAACAATTAAGCGTAAACAAAGTCGAATCAAGAAACTAGCATATCTAGACTACCCGTAAATATGTTGTTGCGAGCACACTGCGGTCTACAATAACAAAACAGAAAAGGTGTCGATAAATTTGATAAGAAAGGTTTATCAACTGCAAACTCAACTGTCATATCTCCCTAACTTGACAAGAGTGAAACTATTTGACTCTTTTATTGACTGTTTAAACTGCCAAAAGTTTTTATTATCTTTAATTAAACAAAAGTGGAAAAATCAGTGATGGGAGAATCCAAAATTATTATTATTCGTTGCTTAGACCCAAATAGCTGTATATATTTATTTATTTTATTTTCATACATTTAAAATTGTTTAAGTTAATTGAAAAGAGTTGGATTATTTTGTTTAATTTTATTTATTTTAATTTAATTTAAGTAATTTTTATTTTATTTATTTTTTAAGTCATTTTAATAAGTTTAATTCATTTATTTTTTTTTTATTTAAATTATTTTAAATTAAATTAAATTTATTTTATTCGATATTATTTAATTGTGGTTGATTTCTTATAACTTCTTCTTAATTTGTTTTGATTTTATTTATTATTTATATTTATTTCACATTAATTAATACTTAATTAATTTTTTACGTAATTTTTATTTTATTTCATTTTGCTTAATTTTTCCATATTCTATTCCATTCCATTTATTTTTATTTTAGGTTAAGTTTTTTTTTTTGTCGATATATTTTACATGCTTTACAATTTTATATTCATTTTTGTGCTATATTTATTCGAATCTAAGGTTATCTAAGTGCTTGTATGTAAATAATTGCTCATACCTATCAATTACAAGCGCCTAACAAATATGTATGTTTGTTTGTATATATACATATATATGTAAACTAAATTAAGAAACGCCACAACTCAAAAAAAAAACTCAATTGTTCAGAAGAAGCAAAAAATAGTAGGCGATTTTCAAGTGACGTGATCAACATGAAAACAGGCATAACGGTGTTTTTCCAGTTAAGGAAGTTAGTGATTCAAAAGAATTTGTGTACGGTCATCAGAGATGTGTTCTATGTACTGGTTTCTGAGGAAACACAGATTTGGAAAAATTTTGATTTGTGATCTTTCTTGCTCAAGTGGGCGATATGTTATATGTATATATCGTTCAGCTTACGATGGAATGCAAAAAATGAAAGAAAGCCTAATGTAATCAAATATACTCATATGTATGTATATATGAGCCACTCAGTGCGCACATCGATTAACTCCTATATTTGAAAAATCTTAATTTTTAGTGCCAGAGCCTTTGGCAAGTCATAACTTTTTATATTTACAATAACTTTCCTGAATAGTAAAGATTAGCACCGTTAAATGGCAAATTTTTTTTGGCCATTGATTAATAAGTAATTTATTCCAGAAGCCATTTCGAACCCCTCCATACCCTAATGTAAATCATCGTTTCAGTTACATTGTGTCTGATATTATATATTAACTTTAAATACCGTTAGATGAAAGCATTTCATCATCGCTTTCTCAACTTTTCGTTTTATGGAGTTAATCAATGTGTCCACTGAGCGGCTCGTATGTACTCATGTGTTTACTGTATGAACGTATTACATACCTACACACATAAACGTATATGAGCATATTATAAGTCTATGTAGGAAGGTGTACATCAAAAGAATATATTATATATAATATTTTATTTATTACTAGAGGTCGGAGTAATAAGGTGGAACTTCCTAAAAAGAGGACTGCACTTGCAGAGTTCAGAGCTCTACTGTCCTCATACGCCTTCTTCCTTTCGATTAGTTTTTACCATTTGCCTTTTACCCAAACTGTTTACCCTCTTCTAAGCGTTTCTTGATACCCAATTCTTTTTAAATCAGCTTCATTACTTTGGCAGTGAAATTATTCAATTTCTCTTTTAGGCATCGTTCATTATGAATTTATTTATTTTTAATTACCAAGCTATTATTTAATTAAATATATTTTCGAATTAACCATGCGACTCATCTACAGCTTTCATACTTGCTCTGGTATCTTTCTGTGCATTGGGCCAATCCTCAGCTGCTATCGTACCCTTAACCTCCTGCCAGGACAAACTATACGCCGAGGTATACACCGACTGAGCGCCCACGTATGAATCTACATCGATATTGACAGTTTTTGGCTTCAGCATGCGTTGAGTTTGGCTGAGCTGGCGCATGGAGACGCCTTCCTTGGTATAGCAAGCGCTCGATCGTATCAACTCACTCTCATTATTGGGGTTGTTCCGTATGGTAATCTTACAGCCGTGGGCACGAGCCTTACAGGTGATGCGATCACATTGCCAAGTGCCTTTGTGAAAAAAACTAAAGCATTAGCCTTGGATGTTGTGGATTTTTGTAAGCCATTGCTCACCATTGTTGTAAGAGAGCTGCACGTCGTCGATGTAGGAGATACCAGGCACATATTTGGCCGTGGTAACATAACAAAAAGCAGCCAGGAAGGCGATAAGTAGTCGTGCAAGTTGCGACATTTTAAGCTCCGTTGTAAATCACAATCTTTCGAGCGCAACGGTTCGAGCCGCGCCTAACTCATCAAATGCAATCATTAAACTGATATTTCAACGGACACTGAGGGCTAATATACGAGCATACGAGTGCATTGCTTTTTTGCTAACGCCAGCTTCGTCAAATTCATCGTTAAAATAATGGAATGCAAATAAAATGCGAGATTATCAGTGAGATGAGATTTGATTTTTTGCCTCTATCAAATGACTAATTAAATTAATTTGTCAACAATTTTCGGAATCTGTATGCATGTGGCTTTCTACACAGTTTTTGCGGAAAGTACGACAACACAACAACAACTGTTTTCATCCGATTATGCGTTGTATGCAAGTAATCCACGTAAAGAATCAACACAATACTAATTTATAAAATGGAATAGGAATATTACGAAGGCAAAAACAGCAGACGCTTTGTTTGTGTAACTCTACCCGTTTCGTGCCTTCAGGCGTACAAATCGAACTTCTTCATGATCAAGAACATTTGATATATTGCAATCGAATTGGGATTCAAGATAAGTGAAGAAACTCCGGTTTCGGAACCTTTTGAAGGTCACCTCATTTTCTCTTAAATTTTTCGAGCACCTCACCTGTTTCCAACATCCCTGCTTTTGTTGTTGTGCTACAAAAATATTCCCCAAAGTAGCCTTTGGAGTGTGTTGCGGGAGTGACAGTTCTTGACCGGATAAACGCCAGACTGTCGCTGGAGCTTTTGAATTTTAGTCGCCTCTTACTACAGGCATGTCTTACCGCGGGAAAATTCCTAAACCCCAACCCCAGCAGCACTTTATACTTGCGCATTATCCCCTCACTCCCTTTTCGCTGCGAGATTGTTCGTATTTTTGCACCCAAATCAGTCATACAATTTTTTGATAGGTCGAATCTCAGAATTTTATTTTAGATCCTCGAAAAAGAATTATCTGTGACAAAAAGAGTTCGCTTTAATTACATCCCACACGCACTTAGCCTGACGAAGTGTTTGTAGTATATATACGAGTATGTACATATGTATAGATATGTCGGTTTAAAATAAGATAACTTAATTACTGGGCTTTGTAGAAAAATAACGGAACCTTAACAGCATTTCTTTAAATAGAGAAAGCTTTTGAAAAATATTTTTGATTGCGAAATTGCACAAAAACAACAAAAAATGTAAAAAAAAAGAACTGAAAACAGTTAGAAAAAATAACAAAAAGTTATGATATAACTTAAATAAGTATACATATGTATGTATGTAAATGTACATAATAATAAATAGAAATAGTTGAACTAATTTGGCAATGTTTTTTTGCATTTTATGCACAGCAAATGAAAGTAGGAAATATTGTGAACGCTCTCCGCAGAGCTGCTACTACTAATGCTAAATACTCGTATTTAATAAGAATTACTTAAGTTTCTTAGTAGCTCTCAGCTGCTGCCCGCAACTCATCCATCAGCGATAGTCCGTCGAATTTATTCGCATTTGCAGCTTGCTGACGCATGCTCGTCGTATGCGCGCTGATAAAATGATCCAAATCGTTGCGCAGGCCATCGACTGTCGTTTCCAGCTTATGTAAATTTGGCACACATTGATTGCTGCGTTGTATAAGTTCGAGAATAGCGCTGGTCTTAGGGCGTCGTGTAACTAGTGCCGATTGCTGGATTAACTGGAAGGAATTGGGAAAAATAAATTCATTACTACTTGTTTATTGAGGTTAAGGCCGATTTAAATCAAACTATTAAAATGACAACAAACACGAGCTAAGTTACGATATTAATAATAATATAAAATTGGCAACCTTTTTGTAGTCATCAATCAAATTGGCCACTTCATGCACTGGCTCATCGGCACTTAGCGTTTCAGCTGCCGAGTCGCGCGTATAGGATGCCGCTTTGCCCAAATCGGAGGACTCGTACTTTTTGCGCTCTATTTCTAGAGCGCGCTCGAGCGCCTGGAAAAGAGGAAAGGGCAAGATATTTATTTTTTCAAAACAAAAAAAAAAATTAATAAAAATCTCTTCCAGTCACTGTTCGCACCTTTATTGTGCCTTGGTTGTGCTCACACTTCAAGCGCATCTCCTCCAACTGTCGCTTGGTCAACTGCAGGTCGTGCAGCTCATCCTTTGTGCGGCTGTGCTCCAAAGTCAAATTTGCGGCACGTTGCTCTGCTGCGCGTAAAGTCTTTTTCAATTTCTTTACATTTGCTAGCAGTGTGTGTATATGCAAGTCATAACGTTTCATCTTGCGTCTATACTCCGCTTCAAGTACTTTCGAAAGTATTCTCATGCGATCATTATTATCCGAATCACTGGCGTTTGGGCTTCCATTACCATCACATGACGATGAAGAAGCTTCAGTGGAGGTTGTGCTGATTGTGTTTGCGGGTAGTACCACAAACTCAGGTGGTAACACCAATGCGTCACGTTTGTTCTTCTTTAGCAGCTGCATTTCACACTCCATTCCCGCCAGCCGCTCTGCATATCCTTTTTTCTCAGCCTGTAAATTTTCGACTTTTGTTTGCAAAGTCCGCAGCTGCTTTTGTTTATCCGCTATTTCTTCGGCATAATCTTCGTTAAGATGTCGCTCAAGCCGTTCATTCTTACTCCTTAATTCTTCAATTTCGTGCTGCCTTGCTTCGCTAACAACCAACTGAGCACTTAATTTGGCTTGCAATTGCTCAACTTCTTTTTCATGCGACCTACGCATTTCATCGTCTTCCTCATTTTTATCATTGGCCTCACTCTGCAGCATCATCTCCTGCAATCGCCGCAGCTCTTCGTTCTGCTCTGCGAAGAGCGCGTTCAACTCTTCTAGCTCAGTGTGTTTCGAAAGCAATTCGGTTCGCGTATTTTCTTCCAATTTTTGGGCGATTTTTAGCGCTTCTAAGAGCTCTTCCCACTCCTCTTGTGATTGTGTTAGCTGTTTCACTTTGGAATTCTGTTGCTCGATCAACTGCTGTATGAGGCGCACTCTATCATTGCGCCCTTCCCTGTCTTCTTGCATAGCTGACGCCAGACTCGTTTCAAGCTGCTTAACTTTGGCCCGCAAGGTAAGCAATTCCTGCTCCTTGGGTAGGGGAATGGCATTTATACTTTCTCCAACGCTTTTGTTCACTTCGAGAGCCGTTACTTTCAGCTGCAATCCGGCCACCAACTGCTTGTGCGTGTCTAGCGTGCTTTCCAGGGAGCTTTTGGCTTCCTGTAAAGTTTGTATTTCTTTTATCAATCGCTGATTCTCCACCTGTAGTCGCTGTATCGTGAACTCATAGTGCTGAAATTGTGCCGTATGAAGCTGCGTTTGGTCACTTTTCTCTCTTAAATGTCTTTCACCGTTCTCATCGCTCTGTAGCTGTTCTCCCTGATTCTTAAAATTAACCAACATTTTTTTGTCTTCATTGTTTTCTCCAGCTTTGTCTTCTGTTAAATTTTCGCTTCCGATTGGATCTTTTACCGCTTCTTCCTTTATTTTTAATTTTTGTTTTTCTTTTAATTGGTTTTTCATTTTTAAAATGTCTTCAATACCAACAGATGTTCCTTCCCCTGTCATTGGTGTAGCATTGATAAGAGTTTCAAACGCTTCCAAAAGTTGTCTTTTTTCCAGAGTCAAAAGACTCTGGTTGCTCAAATACTTTACTAGCTGCTGTTGGCGTTGCAAAAGTTCGTCGGATGGCAACTTATCCTCATCACAGGCCAATATATCTGAATCTGAAATAAAATGAAATAGTCTATATTCAATTCGTATAGAATGATCCGAATAGCCCCACCAATGTTAATTAATTTGCATAGCAATGTGTAAAAGATCTACAAATGTGTATGTAAGCTGTTGGCTAATCAATTTTTCGATCAGTTTGCTTGTCGAAACAAAAGCGTTTTTTACATTCCTTACTCCCCTGAATAACTGCCCAATATGCGTGCATACAGTACTATAATCTAAATGTATGATTACCTCTATTTGTTGTTGATCTTGATCCATTACAAATATGTTTTCCCAGCTCAGCAATTATTGCCTTCCTCTCATTTAAAATGGTCTTTTGTGAGCTCAATTGTTGTAGGAGCACGTTATGGGCAGCAGCGAGATCGAAGCAATCTGATCCTCTTTTCTTCTCTAAAACAGTTTCAGTCCAATCTAAGCACTCGATACTGGTATCCAAGAAGCCACTATCATCCCCGTTATGCCCGGTTTCCGTTCTGAAATTAGCATGTATTTTTTCGTTGGATTCAAGCTTTTGTTTGTCTTGGTTCAAACTTTTGCTTAAAGTTTTCTTTTCGTCCAAAACATAATTTTTATAATTAATTTTCGGAGCTATCTTTACATCTGACTCATTTTCTTTATACAATTTCCTTTCCCGCGGAGTATGATCTTCATACGCCTTTAATTTTTCCACCAATTCCCCATTTTGTGCATTTGAACATTCTAATTTGGCCTCGAGCTCATTTATTTTTGTACCCAAATCTTCGGTTTGTTTCAGGTAGCCTTTTAGTTTCTCTCTTAACAGCTCGATCTCGCGTTTGTCGATATCTGCTTGAAATTTCATCTTGCTACTTTCGATCTCAAGCAACTCCAGCTCAAAACGCGTACGCTCACAAACCGCACACATGCTGGCATATTGTTCATGCAAAGCAATTAATTCGCTCTTCACGTTTTTCAAAGTAACTTGCTCAATATTAATTTTTTCGAGTGTGACTTCGTGTTCCGCACGCATTTTTTCCAGATTATGCTGTAATTCGCTTATTTGTTGCGTTTTCTCTTCATCGGTTTCCTTTAAATGTGTCAACTCACATTTTTGGGCTTCTAAATAAAAGTTCAGTTGCTCTATTTGACGCAAATGCTCTTCATTTTGTGCCTGTAAGTCGGTTAAATTATCTAATTCTATCTGGAGTGCCTGCAAGGACTTTTTGAGTGTGATAATCTCAGCAGTTTTGGCATGAATCTCGTGATGATACGAGACACTTATGCGGTGAACTTCATCCATATTTGTTTCCTTTTGCATATTTTGGGCGAAATCCTTTCGGAGCTCTTGAATTTCACGTTCTTTGTGTGCTAAAGCTTCTCTTTGTGAATTGGACTGCTCTTTCAGCTCTTCTATTAATTCAGCCATCCTTAGCTTTTCGGCATTTTCTGCACTTAAGGTCGCATCTTTTAAATGCAGTGTTTCTTCAAGTGCTTGCCTTTCGGTTAATAAACGCTTACACTGCGCTGTCATATGGGTATTTTCTACCTCCACACCAGCAAGTATTTCCTGCAGCTCTAACACTTTGGTATCTCTCTCTTCATTAAGTCTTCTTAAATCTTCCAGCAGGCCATGTTTTTGTTTTCGCAGAACCTTGATAAGTTTTTCTTGATCCCCGATCAATGTACGTTGCTGCTCCATTTCAAAATTATTATTCTCCACATCAGCATCGCCTGTAATGCTTTGTTTAGTTTCTTCTTCCACTAATTTTTGTAGACCTTTATTTCTTTTCAGTTGAAGTTCCTTCTCCAAATCTCCGCATTTGTCATAGAGACGCACGCATTCACGCTGTAAACGCTGATTTTCCTGCATATATTTACGTTCTTGAGCATAAAGTCGTTCTAGTGCTTCTAAACGGGTAATTTTTTGTGCTCTTAACTCTTTTTTATACCATTCTTCTGACTTGTTGAGCCGCTCAAGCTCGCTCCGTAGTTTGCGTACATCTTGCATGGCAATAAGCAATGCATGATCTCGTTCTCTTAAGAGAGAATGAACATGTTGACAATGATTATGTAGCTCCATTTCAAGTGGACAGGTAACTTCGCTTTCATTGGAACTGTTGGAATAATTCCCAGAATCGTAGGCCAGAGCAGACCATTTCACCTCACTTTTGACTGACTTTTCAGATGTATCGGACATTTTTCGGCAACGAAATGACGCCTTACTGTATTCTTCTTCATTCGCGCTCGTTCCGCCATTGTCGACTTCAGCAGCATCACCCAGATGCATTGATTTGTTGCTACTCATCGTTTTAGTAGTTAATTCTTTTCAACTATGAAATTAATTATTTAGTTTTCTAAACCACAAATACGAGCAAACAACAATATAAGTATGACTTACTTCTCCAATGTGGTTTATTCATTGGACGCTGACATCATCCCTTAAATTTATTTATTTTATATTAAATTCATTCGAATCCCCATATTCACTTTACTATATGATTTTTGTTACATGCGTAGAAATTATATAAAGAAACAGTTTTTATCAACAAATTAAACACATATAATTGAAATTAATTTTATTGTGCTCACAAATTTCCTTTTATTTTCATTTCGTACTTTTTTATTAATACGTACATTTTTTGTTACCGATCCGATCAGCTGATTCTGAATTAATTAGTGATGTTGTTTAAAACGACTTTTCGGGATTTGAACACAACTCGTACCATATCGAAATCTTTCTAATAGGACTATTCCGTCGAGGTAACAAAATTTAATTTGGTATTAGAATTAACTATTCAGTAAATTTTGTTACTATTTCGTATTCTGAGTTCACTGTCACAATGTAAATTTTGGTACCAGCAAAATAGAGGTAACAAAAGATCTATTCTTTGGTTGTTTGTTGTTAGTTTGATAAAAAATAAAAACTAAAATGGGTACGGATAATTTAGGCCTGAAATTCATTGAAGATAAAAATAAAAGTGGAAAAAGGAGCACACTAATAAGTTTGCGAGAAGCAATTGACCCTTTAATTTGGAAGATTGCGTTCTCATCCAGGTTTCTTTGCCGTTTAGGCATAATTTTCAAATTTAGGTTCAAATATTTATAATTTAATAAACACATAAATAAAACTTATTTATTTTTAAAAGCACCGTCTTCCATTTCGATCCATGTAATCTATTGTTGTATTATTCAAGTCATTATTAACCAATTGTTGTTTGTTCTTGCCTTAGTTCGATTTGAATAAAATTGTAGCGATAGGGCAGCAATTATCACAATCAGCTGTTATATTGCATTTTTGATGAACGTCATCGCTGTCAAAGGATTTGTTTAGAATCGCAATTAATTGATTTCTCTTTGTGCAGTTTTCCTTATTTTTACACAAAAACGTCTTCAAATTTCAAATTTTTGTATATTCAGCAATTTATTTATAGCAAAGTAAACAAATATAGACTTAGAGCAAGAATGCAGTTAAAATGTGCTAGATCGCAAAAGTGATAAGGATTAAGTGTAAAAGGAGAAGTAGTAAAACTCGAAAACCTCGAAGTATCCAATTCTCAAGGTGAGTATCATATCAATATAAAATGCCTTCCTAATATTATTGCGTAACTTTGTATTTATTTTTTTAGATTAAATATGTCGGAGGAGAGCTCAGAAGAAGCATTTATCATATACAGAGAGGGTGTGGCACAGCACTTGCAGTGGACTACGGTACCGCCTTTGGAGCGACAACCCGCTGTGCGGTTATGTGCTATAGATAATTCTGATTTACTTCTACTTCTCACCGCTGATGGATCACTCTACATTGCCAAGAAATCAACCCATTCCAATAACACATTGCATTTGGAATTACATCGGCCGAACATAGTGGATGTAGCTTATTGTCGCCAGTTGACGCAGCTTTTTATTGTGACCGCAGAGGGTGAAGTGTTGGTGCAAACTCTAAAGAATACAAGCAACGCTGATTTGTGCAAAGATAATTGGCAGACACTATCCTTCGATCCTCTTGAGCTCTGCGAAGAGGGCATCTGTATTGAGCGCGTATGCTGCGCAGCAAGAGGTGTGATCTTTGTAACACGATCGGGAGAACTGTACGCCATGGGTAGCTGCGGTGATGTATTTCACGCAGAAGTGCAGCCAAAACATTTACGTCTCATTGGAGAAAAGAAAGATATATTGGATCTCGTCGCAGGGGATGAATTCTTTGTTTTACTTCTACAACAGAATTATCCAGCTGATGAAGACCCATTGGAGATCTTCATTAACAAGCGTCAACTTAACTATGCCTGTAAGTATATGCATACATAATTAATAAACGAAAAATAAGAAAATTTTATGCTTAGCATCTTCAAATAATTCTCCTGCATCTGCACGCACACGCACTAGTAACCCTTTAGAAGCTGAGCATTCAAGCCGTGAAGATGCTGCAGACAAAAAAGTTGAGCTCAATTCCAACTCCTCGGTTCGATCATACAGTAGCAGTAAATCTAGCCACACTCAACAAGACGACCTCGACTATAATCTGCGTGAAATTCTCAAACAAGGCTATTCCTTGGTGCAAACTCAAGTATGCACTTTTGGTTCTGAAAATGGTGGCCTACTTGGCACTGGTGATCACATCAAACGGAGCACAGTGAACTACCTGCAAAAATTGGAATCGCTGGGTGTATGTAGCGTTGCAGCGGGAAGAGAACATAGTGTAGCACGCACACTCGATGGCAGATTATTTCACTGGGGCCGCAATTCGCAGTTACAATTAAATAATCAGAAAGAACTGTCTGATATAAGTTCGCCAACCGAACTGAAATTGGACAAAATAGAGTTGGAAGTGACGCAGCGGAATATTCTTAACGCCTGCTGCGGTGACTTTCAAACTGTTTTGCTGAGCGCTCGTGGCGAAATACAACTAAAGGAGCAGCAACTATCGAGCTTCGAACAACATTTGTTGACGCTGAACATGCGCGACGCTACTGATCGGAAAACTATTCCTCTGCTGCTGGCGTCGGCCTCCTACACACTACAGAATCGTCGTAAATTTCAGCGACAGTTTCATGCTTATTATACAGGGCTGCAGCAGCAACTAAAAGTCTTGTTGGTATACCGACATGGCATACAAATGATTGAGCTTTTCCAACAGAAAAGTACAGCCTTAGTGCTTAGGCAGCTGCGGCTTATATGCCAATGCTATCATAAACTCTTGTACCTGATTGCTTGTACGTTAAGATCATTTGAGAATTTTTACCGTTGTGATTTTACAAACCCCACAGAGTTAGCGTTCGTGAAGAATTACCGAGAATGTATTGAGCTCTTTACACAGTATACCAAAGCTTATTGTGACCTTTACTCCGTCGATGGTTTTACAGAGGCGTCGAAACTTTATAGCCAATTGTCGAGTGTGCCCCTACTGCCGGGTCAATGGGAACATAACGTCGACTTGGTGCGAATTTGCCAGCAACCTTTTCAGGTATTCCCCCATTATGTGCAATTTCTCGAACAACTCATTAAGTCACGCCCTGAGTATACGGAACATCATTTTGCCTGGGACAGTTTTGCTCGGCAACACCGTATTGACATGGAGTTGGCCGAGAATACATTGGAGTTTTGGCAGTGTAATGAAAGAAATACTAAGATTCGACATTTTCGACGTAAACAACGCCGTGTCGTACTTACCTCAACGACGGTGCCACTCAAATTGGCTCACACCACAATGAGCATGTCGAGCAATACCTTTATCTTATTCTCTGACTGCTTCTGTCAGGTTAGCGGACAACTTCATACCTATCCTCTTGTAACGCTCTGGTTGAAGATGGAAAATGACACGGCTTTACGGATTATAACGCCAGAGCGTACTTTCACCCTTTTAGCTCGCACACATTACGATAAAAAACTGTGGTTCGATCAAATCGAGTCGGCTGTTAAAGCGGCTTTGGGGCGAAGTTCGGACGCCAAGTTGTCGAGTATGCGCACCACTGCGTATGTGTTCAGTCGCAGTCATGCTAAATACCCCGCCGTGCACGCTTATGGCTCGTGGAGAGATGGCGTGCTGCATGGAAACGGCTACCTTGAGTATCCTGATGGTCGAGTATACTTTGGACAAATACGTAATGGCGAGATAGAAGGTAGATGGGCTGCTTAGATTTCTTTTCTATCTACTCTAAAATTATAAACTTTTATAGGCTATGGAAAAATGGTCATACCATCGGTTGGGCTCTACGAGGGCCACTTTAAGGCGGGTAAATTTCATGGTCACGGCACTTATGAGCTCAAAAACAACGATGTCTATGAGGGACATTTTCGTGAAGGTCTTTTCCACGGTCATGGCACTCTCCGGAGTAACTTTTTCATTTACGTTGGCGAATTTCAGGCAAATTCTAAATGCGGTTATGGTATAATGGATGATATGTCGACTGGTGACAAGTATATGGGCATGTTTGCCGATAACAAACGCGTCGGAGCTGGTATCTGCATCACAATGAAAGGCAATTATTTTGAGGGTTTCTTTTCAAATGACGAACTCGCTGGGACGGGCATTGCTGTGCTGGAAAATGACCTCTACTACGAAGGAGAATTATCATTGCACGGGCCCATCGGAAAGGGAACTTACTATATGCCTACAGGAGCAGCGGATGTTGAGGTGTGTGATTTGTTAAATTCTTTTTTTTAATCCATCTTCGCTTATCGGCATATTGCTAGAAAGCTTAGACTCAACATGTTATCATGTGATTGTTGATGGTGGATTGAGAGATAACAGGTAGCTTCAACCAAAACCACCACGTAGTGCTATTATTATCTGTAGAATTTTTTAAGCCTAAAAAATGTAGACAGTCCGCAGAACGGCGACTAACTCCTACTTTATTTATTTTGTCATTTCGCAGCTTTGAACGAAATTTAATTTATTGTTCTGTTCATAATTTTTGTCGTAGGAACCTGATATAAATGAAGGTGATAGCTTTGCGAATCGTCAAATGACTGGTAATGTGCTTAGTGGCCAGCTAGGGGGCAGTTGGAAAGAAGTGCGGATCATCACTGGAACAATGACCATGACGAGGAATTTCCCAAAATATCCAAAGTATGTTAAGACTTTTTAGCTAAGGCTTCTACGACTTATGAGCTCTGTGTAATACTTCTAGATCTATTGGCGCACTTGTCGTGGACAATAGTCGCAAATGGCGTTCGTTGTTCGAAAATTTCGAAGAAGATGTGCTTGGAAGCGCTGCCGCCAACAACAACAAGAAAAAATCCAATGACAGCGTGAATTCAACGAAAACGCTGTGGAATCGCATTGCTGTGTACATGCAGTCATATCGCGAACGTGAACGTAGCTTGGAACAACAGAACTCTGCATATCAATCGACACGTAGTTATTTTGGCAAAAACATATCTCTCGGCTACTCCAGCAGCTTCGATAAGCTCAGTCTCAAGTCCACAAACAGTTTTTTCGCTACTGCGAAGTCGAACATACTGGATTTGAGTAGCAGCCTCACGGACTCACGACGTTCGCAATCACAGGAGCTGCTTTACGAGAGTGATGTAAACGACGTTGACTCTGTATGGGGCCCGCAAAGTCTCACGCATTATAACAGTGAAGACAATAGCTCGATAAGCGGTTTGTTCAGCGCACAGATAAACAACTGGCTGGGTGACGGAAATGCAGCCAGTTTGCGCTCATCGCTCGAAAGCGTCGATAACATAGGCGAAAGCTACAATAACAACAGGTATAAGGTTGCAAAAAAGTAATTAGAAAAAAAAAATGTACGTTTCTTCACAGCTTTTCTACACAACACGATCTTGAAATCGTGCCGAGTTTTGGCATGACCACGCTAACCGAACAGGATGTCTCCGCCATCAAGGATTACTTGCAGCAAGCGTTCAAGGATAGCTACCATCCTTTACACGAGCTGAATCGGCGCATAGCGAACTGTTTCTATAACTCGTATGGCTGCTGGAAAATGAAGCCAACACCCATACTGGCCAAGCAAGCGATGCTGGAATGGGAGTCTATCTCGAAGCGTGTCTACAGGTTTGTGCAAAAAATGTTTCCTGCACTGCCCGATGAGTACTGTGTAATAGAGAACACGCGCGAAGTAGTGTCGCACATCACACTACTCTACCCGATCGTGCTGAGCGAAGGCATATACTCGACGTTATTTGTACTTTATGCAAACAAGTGCAGTGTGAAGGACGAAATGTACAGACAGAATTTGATTTATGCAGAGAAGCTTAAGGACGAAGAACTGGCCGCTTGCCTGGGGCTAGAAAGGTTTGAGGGTGGCAAATAATTTTTTTTTAGATTTTTCTTTATATGTTGTGATTCGAATTACTACTTCAGCTCCTTCTTACCTATTGTGCAACACGCTTGCTACGCCGAGGCAATACAAACTTTCAAACAAATCCAAGAAAAATACAGCCCCAAAGCGATGTTAACTGTGATAGAGCAATGCATACAACAGATAACCGATGCGCACAAAACCGTTGCTAGTGGTGAGTAACAGATTGTTGTTATTGCCCAAATTTAGTTTTCGCTTACACATACATATATCTGTTAAAATAAAAATTGTTAATGTTCCAGTGAACTCTGTGATATTAGCCGCCGATGGCATGATGCCACTCACCCTCTTTCTGGTGCTACGCGCGGCCGTACCACATTTGGGCGCCGAGTTAGCCCTGTTGGACGACTTAACCCGCGGCACTAATTTCCAATTCGAGATGAATGGCATTACTGGCTATTGCTATACGACACTAAAGGTAAAAATAAATTGTTTAATAAAATATAATTTTTCGACGGCTCATACTATTTTTTATATATTTTTAGGCTGCCTACGAGCATATCACCGCTGTGCCTTTAAACAAGTTGTAATATGGCGCGTCAAAAACTATATTTCTCTCTGACATACACACACACACATGAAAGAAAGCTCATCAAACTCAAATCATTTTAAGAATATTCCAAAGCTCCTCCAGTCAGCATAATTTGACCGTTAATGGCCGTAGTGTAAAGTCTGGAATCTTAAGTTTAAAGACGAATAGTTTAAAAAATCATTATCTGAAAAGTGTTACATAAATAGGTATAATTAAAAAAATGTATATGTTCTACTACCAGTACCACTTGCAATGAGCCAACGTAAATTTTGCTAGTGTATAAGTATTAGGTACAGTTATAATTATAAGAAAAAATATATATTCTTAATTTTAAGTGCATACAACGCATTCCACTGTTTAAAAGATGTGAGCAGGACTTGGTTTTAGGACTTATTGTAACGTGAATGCAGCGACCTCCATGCGAGAGTAGATTTAAAAGTTAATGGTATTAAAAATAAATAAGAAATGCTACTAAAAAATAACTCAATGTCGTATTAAGAATATCCTCACCACTTTTTATGCAGTGAGAGCCAAAGAGACCTGATAATTCGTTTAATATCATCACATCACAACATACATACATATGTACATTCACATCAGTTTCAACGTTTCATTATATTTACAAAGCGAAGCACAGCCGACAAGGTATCAATCAGGCGTGTACGGCTAAAAAAGGATATTAAAGTGTTGACGCAAGCGGTGAAAACGTGTCTCTGGTCGACTGCTGTAGAGACTGGTAGCTTCTGCACAAATGGGAGTTGCAGATGACAGCAATTCAGCAATAGGTACAGAACCCCTATACCACGGGAATATTTTATGAATGACAATAACAGGGAACCAAAACCGAGTGCAGATGAACAGATCTAAATGATTCGTGAAACTCGAATAATGTTGGCGTAGTTAATGACTAGCTCTCATATATCTGGCCTCGACAACGAAGCATGAACGACACTCATTAACTTTTTGTATGTCTCCTTTATCTCTTCCTTCGGCCGGAACCAAAATTCATAAATTTTTCAGTGTTTAATCAAAACCAAGCGCAACTTCAATTTGAATTCAAAAATATATTTTTTTAATTCTGAAGCTCTTTCATTATGCGAATTCTGTTTAGCAAAAAAATTAAATCTCACAATTAATTTAAAATCAAAGAAATAGTCATATGTTATCCTCATCCTCTTCCCACTTTTCATCCACTTCAGTTTGTTCGCGCACGACTTTGGTCTCCCTGGCATCGAAAGTATGCACCGGTTGATTTTTTAAGAATCCATGAGGGAATTTTCTGAAGAGTATCTTGTCTAAATGCTGTGGAAAGTAGCGGCTGTGATATTTATAGGACACATACTTGTCCGGCAAACGAGTGCTGGCGTTCTCTTTGTACACGAATATCACATTATCATTGTGCTTTATTAGATGTTGCGACTCTGCATACAGCAAGCCGAAGAGGAAATGCTTATATAGCGAGCAATAATAGTTTTCGTCGGTTTTACCGTTAAAGTACAGAAAACGGATATTGTGATACAGCGAAATAAAGGTTTCAGCCGACTTCATGCGTGTGATGAAAATGATCTGTGCTTTCGGTCTGAAATGTGCAATCTTAGCAGCCATTCGGCCAGTTAGCGAGCATACGAATATCACGGGCGCTTTCATCTGATATGAGGCGCAGACAGTGGAACGCGCTAATGAGTCACTGCCCGTTAGCGAACGATCACAATATGGGAGTTTATCAAGTGCCTCTTCGATAAGCACCTCGGAAATCGAATCGTGCAGAAAGAAAAAGTAAAAACAGCTATTTGAGCTTTCGCACGGTAAAATGAATTTGTCCGGATAGAGAAAGATGTGGTGATAGTATGATGGGTCTACTATCAGTTGCTTTTTGGCGATCAAAGCTGGCTCTAAAATAATTACTTTTTGCAGCAGATATGCACGCTTAATGAATGATTCAGCGGCCGGACATAGGTGAAGTATGTCTCGCTCGGGATGCCGCTCGGCCGGACTGAAAGCTATAATGAAGCCATCATAACTGTCAGCCATCCAGTCTAGCCATTTGTCGCAACCTTTTATTTCGTTCAGTACCACACGTGCATATACACGCATATTCTCACAACCCAAAGTTTTCAGTGCATTTAGCAGATTTTGAAAATACTCCTCGGTGCCGCCGATGTGCGAAACGATGACATTTATACCCACCTCCTTGCAGAAAGTAATATCCTCCAGCTCCTCCATAGACACTAAGAACTTAGTGCAACGCGATGGGAAGAGCACTGGTATTCGCGAGCTCAGTTTGCCTCCCACCTCCACTATGCAGCGCAAATGTGCGTCCTTCTTTTGCACGGAAACCTGTATTTCGGGTCCGATGCAGATGTAATCGAATACATTTACATCAGTAAATAAAAAAGCCGCATTCACGTATACACAAGTTTTGGTGCAATGTGTCGAGTATTCACGCACACTGGTCAGTGTGAGTTCGTCGCCTTTGTTGAGATCGAGAACCAAATCTGGGGGCTCGATTAAACCCGTATATTGTAGACGTGGACTCAGTTTAGCGAATATAGTGGATGAGATTGGGAAGCCGATTTCCTTGGAGATGTTCAATTCACTTTCGCGCACGCGTAAAATAAGGCTCTGATTCTCGATTGCAGTGCCACAAAAGAGATCAATAGCAAAGCAACGTATTCCGGCACCTAAATGCGCACGAGTCATGAGTCGAATTGAAACGCAGTTTAAAATAATCATGTCTCGTTGTTTAACTTACGTAAATAGTTGATTATTGCTTGATCACAGTCCCCACATCGGAGCTCGATGCACTTCCTACCATCTCCACCTGCACTCTCTTGAGTTTCGCTTAGTATTTGAAACCCTTTAAAGTAACCTTGCCACACATCAACTCCTTGCTCGTCACTTTCAACCGATTCAGATCTCGCCGATATGCCTTCCTCAACTAGGCCTTCCATTTCGGACATCTCGGATCCTGCGAAACCATCGGAAATTGATTTATCTGAACTATATGCCTTAATGCGAGGAAGCCAATTCCGGTCCATTTCGTCGACATATTTGTTGGAGCCGAGTACGTTTTCGAAAAGACTTTGATGCTGAATGCGCCCTTGCATTTCCCGAACATAATTCAACTTCTCCATGTCGGCAGACAGAAGCACACACCTCACTTTCTCACAAATGTTCGCAAAGAGTTCATCATCCATACTTCCAGCTGGTGCTTTTCTGTTTCCTTTTGTTCTAAGAGCCGGTCGGAGGCAAAAGACATACGTACTAATGTGTGTACGTATGTGTATAAAGTATTAGTCAAAATGATAGGTTTTTGAATTTTATTCTGAAGCTTTATTTTTATTGTCTTTCAGTCTAAAGAAAATCTTTAAATTATTCGCGATCTCAAAGAACCATATGTCCCGGCTGACCCTGCAAAAGTCGTTTTTCGACAGACTCTGGCCTTTGATACTCTCCGACAATGTGTGCGATACCTATAGCAAGAACAAATGTAAATTCTACGATCCTGACCAACGCTTCGACGATGTGTGGGTGCATGGATACCTTGCCGGGCGCGGCTTCAAGAATTATCAGCCACCAACCGTTATTCGCTGCTGCTTCGACGAAAACGAAAGAAAATTATCTCTTTGCGAAATAAGGGATGAAAAATCCGAGGAGTGGGGAAAATCCGATGTTGATATCAAGGCATCAATTGAGGAGTCTCAACACTCGGAGAACGCCAGTGAGGAATTCGATACAGTAAAGGGACCACATTATCTAACGTTGGACGAACAAATCAATGCAGCTAATAACTCTTTTGATACGCGCCGCAAGCTCGCCCACGCCTTCATTAACCGCCAATACCCCTGGTATATGCAGCAACCCACCTATGAGACTCCCTTTCAGCTTACGGACACTATGAGACAAATGTTCACTAGCAGACTCGAGAAAGCGGTCCTACAGGATATGCACACCTTCAATTGTAAACTGGTATTAATCGATTTGGTTAAACAGATCTGTCTGCATGAGCTTAGAGATTGGTTAAATTTCACGCGCTACGCCTTTGTAATTGTGGTGGCGCGTAGCGAAGATGCTGTAAAGCAAATTAAACTAATGGGTCCCAACTTGAGCGCAGCTATGGTGCTTGAGAATATGGAATACACATGGCACGATCAATTGTCCGAGTCGTTGCGTGTGGGATTGGTGCATGCGTCGAATATCGGAGTTTTCGAAAACTGCACGAGATCGTTTATATTTGTTTTCGCCCGAAGGCGAAATAGTTGTAAATTGAATATGCACAGAGTGCTAAGGAAGAATACCTAGTTGTGACTTTAGATGCTCGATTTTTCTATCTCAACTAATAGCAAATCGATATTGCAAGCAAAGTGTTCTTGCAGATTCCGATTTTTCAAAAAGCTGTATATTCACAAAATAAAAAATTATATAAATTTCTCTGTAAATGTGTGGATAATTATAATAGAAAAATTAGTCCATTTACCGTAAGATCTAACTAAAAAATTCATAATCTGACAACCATAAAACCCATACCGAATTACCATCATTTAATAATGTTTAAAATGTTTATACAACAAAAATAAGAAATATTTTCGTATATAATGCATTCAAGTTCAATATTGATGCATTGAGTTCCTACATTGAAATTAAAATTCTATGCTTTGTACAAATTATTATGAGTAACGGGCTGAATTTGTGGATGAATATGAAATATATTTTATGTGAACATATAAAATTGAGTTTAAATATATAGTTGATACACATTACACCTACAAGTCTGCTTTTTGAAGCTACATATTTCTACTACATATTTTAGGGTATATTTTTTTTAATAACTTAAAGTTAAATGCCTATAAAATGATTGTGTGCCGCCTGTTAATATCGCTTATGTCAACAACAAGTTCATAATGTCCCGCTTGATATTGCGTTTCTTTTCTGCTGGCATTTTTTTGAGCATGGCTGAGACTAATTCACCAAAGATAGCATCTTCGCAGCGTTCCTCAGATGTGCTATTTCGACTAGCGTTATTTTCATTTTTAACACAGTCAGCACCAAGATTATCACTACTGCTATCACCCTCCCTTACTTCAACCCTATTATCTTTTTTTTCCTCGACAGCATCTTGTATTTGACATCGCACTGATTCGTCCTCTTTCGAACCGTTTCTGTTGCAAGTGGCTTCCATTTTCTCATGGCTATTCTCTTTTACAAATATTATTTTTGGATTGTCATTGTGCGTTGGCATTTCGTCTAGTTTCTCTTGTTTGATATGTACTTCCAATTCAAGGTGTCCAAGGTCTTCACTTTCATCTTCTTCGTGCTGTTGCTGTCCCTCCTCCTGTTGATCTTCTTGCAGCTCTTTTCGTAGCTCCTCTTGCAGCTCTTTTCGTAGCTCACTTTCACTTATTTGCTGAGCATCTTCGTTGGTCGTTTCATACTCCGAGCCAAGCGCTTCTACTTCGAGAAATACATACTCTTCATTGCCACTATCATTCTCCAGATCTTTTTCGGTTATAACAAATTCTGGTTTAATTATGTTTACTGGCAAAGGTTCACCTTCATTTCGTTGTTCTCCTTTAGGTGACGGACGCAAATATGGCAATAGGAACTCCATTTCTTTTTTGTAGGGAAAATGGCTCGAGTTTAGTTGACTTTCCGTCAAGGTGGTGCGTTTGTAATGTTCACGTAGAAAGTGCCACCGCGTTTTCAGAAGTGCCTCTGTGGAAAATAAGCGATATGATTATATTAACACCTTTTGGAACTGCTTTATTTCTACAGTATATTTTGCATACCTCGCATCTTCATTTGCTCTGCTATTTGTTGCCAACCACATTTGCGGTCTGATAGGGTTACGTTGTTTTTGTAGAGTAGCGGACACTGTCGTACAGCCTCAATAAGTCGATGATTTAAATCCATACTTACTTTTATAAAGAAAATAACTTATCTTCTTGTAAATACGCAATTCCGTGGCTTTTATTTTCTTTTGTTTACAAATTTGGTATACGTGACTGACAGCTCGGATTTGGATGGGCTAAAGCAAGCAGGAAGTGCTGCCATATTGACATAAATTTCTTGAGTGTTTTTTGAGGTTCTTAATGGCATTTTTTGCGGAACTAACGCATATGCATTACTGAATTTATTTTCGCCAGTGAATTTAACAAACTCTGCTTTCGGTTAAAAAATTTATATTTATTTTAATTTGTGTATAACAAAATAACATTTTCTTAAAAATACAACGAAAGGTTTGTAACTTACTTATTCCTGTGCTAAGATACAACAAATTGAATAACAGTAATACACCCACTCTGCTCAAGAAGTCAGAGCGGGGATTTCGTATAAATTACTTAATGATGAAAATGTAAAACCAACTTGGCGGGTTGTACTTGAGCTTGTGATTGGGGTCGTGGGCGAGTTAATTTTGCCGGTTTCGGTAGAGGACCTGGACGTCGGAGCTTAGCTGGAGCTGGACGTCGTCTTGGACGAAAAGCTACTAAACGTTCAACACGTGGCAGCGTGAAAACGGTTTGTGAGTACACCGCACGAGGATCTATGATGGATGCAGTTTGTGGCACATCCGCGACGGCTGGTGGTGGTGGTGGGCCATACTCATCAGCTGGGGTACCCGGCGGTCCATAAGTGGCGGCAGGTGCAGCTGGTGGTGGTCCGTAAGAAGGTGCAGGCTCGGGTAAAGGTTCCTCAGCGGGTGGTCCATATGTCTCGTCTGGTGGTCCATATGTCTCCTCTGGTGGTCCATATGTCTGGTCTGGGGGTCCATATGTCTGGTCCGGTGGGCCATATGTTAATTCTGGTGGTCCATAAGTTGGTTCTGGCAATTCAAATGCGGGTTCCGGCTTCAAACCTGCCGGCGGATAGGGTGCTGCATCTACTGGTACTGATGGTAGTGACTCTTGTCGCGCTAAGAATGGCAGTGGCCGATTATTGGCCGGGCCTGGGAAACGTAGGCGCTGACGAGGTGGTTCAGCGTGACATAAAGCGACTAAGAAGCCAATTGTCGCTAGTGTGTAAAATATTTTCCCCATTATTTAATACGAGTCCTTAAATAATTTGTATCCTTCAATTAGAGCCGTTACTTTCCGCCTGTTGTCGTATAGAAGACCGTTAGAAATGAACTGTTGCTGTTTTGGGGTCACTCAATCTTTTAAATACGTTTCACAATGCGAGACTGGGCCTCATTGGCTGATAGAAATCGGCAAAACGGTCATTACAAACGTCAAGTGGATTTGAAATTGACCTCCAACTCGATTTTGTTGTTGTTAAGCGTTTCTTTAGCTTTCAATAAAACCCAAGTACACTTATTAAACTCGTACGAATGCGTAAACGAATTTACGTTTGTCTTTGTAATGAAGCCAAGCGAAACCCCAATGAGTCCATCGGCGTCCAACGAGCGGCAGAGACTCATACTGTATGACAAATTTGGCGCTGTCGCTGGACGTGATTGTGGTGTTAAATTGAATTTCCAACTCACCACGTCCACTGCGGCCGATGTTTGCTGTTGTGTGTGTGTCAAAGAACAGAACGTGTATGAAAATTAAAAAAGAAAACAAAAACAACAGAAAATTGTAAATTACGAAAATTGCGTTATGGTTATTATTACTACTCTTTTATGATGTTATCATCACTACTACACGACTGGGGTCCTGACTCAGCTAAGGTTATTTGACAAACCTGTATAAGGACATTCAATTTATATATTTCGCCGTGAAAAACCTATGAAAAAGTATTTGATTTGCAGAAAAGGTGAGCCAGATAATGATAATTCCTCTAATGGGCCATCGGTAGGAGAGACTGTTTTATTACAAAAGTAAGAGACATAATGGAAAGCTGCCATAATTAAGAAGATTTATAGAAAGTAACTCATGAACCGCCATCAAGTTTCTTCAGAGAAATAATAACGAGTCAAGACCTTTAGGATCCTCCCGACGAAATTTGTCAATTTCAACTGGGTTGGGAGAGAGTCGAATTATCGATATTATAAAAGGAAACAGACTTATTAAGTGTTCATAAATAGTTTAATGTCGGAACTCTAAATTCTTTACACTGGAAATTCTAATATTACATACTAAAATTCAGACCGAAACTGGCATAAGGTAGTCTAGGACTCATGAAACTAACCGACCGAAGCTTATACAGGGCTTTAGTGGCAATTTCAAAAAGTCAAGAAAACATCCGGATTTCTCCAGCAGCGGAAAGTGCTTAAAATCGAACTACTAAGATTCTTACACCCACGCCCCACAAACCTCCTTAACAGCCTCGGACCTTTGAATAATTTTCAAGGCGAATACCTTAGCACTAACAACGGCTCGGCGTCCGACAATGTCTCGGTTAAATTATTGTTGTTTGCAGATATGTTGGTGTGCCGACACGTACTTTCACTCCACCAGCAGTGATGTACAGCTACATTTACTTGTCGAGGCGTATCCAAAGTCTATCTCGCTCCGTCGCCTCTGTTCGTCCGCCTGCCTGTGGGTGTTGTTTCCAGTGCAAGTTGTACTACAATCTTGTTTGAATCTTGTAATACTACTATCCATTTGTTTTGCTGTAGCTGTAGCTGTTGTTGTTGTTGTTGTTTTAGTTGTGGTTGTGGTTGTTTGCTGTTACCGCTTCTGTAACGTGTTGTGTGGCGCTTGTTGCGATATTTTCGCCATATCCTCCGACACAATGCCCGCTAAGGACATGGGTATGTGCATACATGTGGATGTATGTGTGTGCGAAGGTATTCATGCAAAAGTGTCTGCGAGCAACAGCAGCGGAGGCTCTGCAGCTCACGAAGCTGTCTTTCAGTTTATCCAGCTGGCCAAGTATTCGAGGGCCTCGGTGATGTTGTTATTGTTGCTGGCTAATATTGAATTTATTTTCCGTTTTGTAGTGCATTATTCCTCAGCTTTTGGGGCGCATGGACGAAGGAGAAGAGAAGTGAGGAAATGTTGTTTGATTGTTTGCATTGAATTTGTTGAGTTATGTTGCATGCTCAATGGAGTTATGGTTGATGCAATGTTTTCCCAGACACAAACAAAAATTTGCGAAATTCTCTAAGGAAAGAAAGGCGGACGAAGAGGATACTCAAAAAAAAAAAAAAAAAAAACAGTCAAAAGAAAAATTCGTGTTATCGCTAGCAACGTATTTGCGGGTGATTGGACTCTTCTAATATTCACATGTATGTAAGCAGACAGTCTTTTTAAAACGTTTCTCTCCATTTGGACTCGAATGAGTTTTATTATGTCGCTTCCCTAAGCTTCTACCCCACCATGAAGGTGATTCCAATAACCCGTCACATATCCTCATAATTTTTGGAACTACTGGGGCATCTTCTAAAATGGGCCGCAGATACACGAAGAATCTAGTTGGTAATACTCTACCAAGCAAGTTCGTCTGCCCCCTTGTTCCCTGCCGGAGGATAGTCTGTATTGTTCAGCCATCTGAAGACAGTGGTAGAAGTTTTATTTCGCCCTGACCGTCACTAAAGATGAAGATGTCGTTTCTTCTAGTGGTCCGCAGCTTGAGTGAAAGCTCCAATCTACCCAAGCTTCTGACCATCTCGTTTATTGTCCTGTTAAACTTGAAATAAATTTGAATGTTTTTTTACTGATCATTGCTCTATTGCTCTCCAGGACGCTCGTTGCAATGTTCCTGGCTCAAAATCAAATTTAGGTTAAGTTTTGAGATTATTAAGGAGCAAAACCTGAAAGATTTGCATTTAGCTCTTATGATTATCCTTATGATGTCTATATAAGCAGTTACAGAAGACTTTGGCGCAGACCTTACTAGATCTGAACTTTCATCATTTGCGCCATTTCGTTTTTCCTCGACAATTTTACTGCTAATTGAATGCTGTCTTAGCCATTCGACCGATTATGCCCAACCTAGAGAAGTGAAGGACAAACGTTTGTATTTAATATTTTGGTCATTAATATTACACACCGCGAATGCGTTGCTGTTGTTGTTCATGTGGCACGTTAAGTGAAATGGCAAAATCTTTACTAAGTTGGTCACGTATTTAATGTCGGTTTTACACACTTCAACACGTGGCGACTTTTATGCCTTTCATCTTGACCGAAAATGACCACGAGCAGCTGCAATGCCACAGCGTGCTGGACGGAGAAAGAAGCGGTCGTGCGGGTTTTCTTGGCTTTTAGGCTAAGAAGCCTTTCAATTACAATTTTCATAAGCTTCGCGTCAGGTTCTTAATGCTTCTCTGATGTGTAATCGTTTCGTGGGAGGCAATATGTGAGGGCAGCATTGAAGCATCTGAGTAGTGGAAAGTTAATGCTGCCACAGATGTAACGGCGAAATACCCATATGCCATTATGGACATTGAAAGTAATTTCTGACCGCAGACTTCCGCTCTGTTGGAATATATTAAATTCATGCTTCGTTATTGCGGGAAATGATGTCAGCTTAAATGGGAGAGACCAAAGCAATGGTAGAGGCTGGTTTGCTTGGTACATCGCGAACCTTCGTCGTCGTTAAGACGACAACTGTCTAGCAATCGGAAAGTACTATGGATACAATCGGGAGAATCGGGATCAACCTGAAGAAAGTTTGGTCAACAACATAAGCTGGAGTCAAAGCAGCATCCAGGTGTCAACTAAGGAAGCTGATATGGGCATTTATTTTACGTCGGTTTAAGAAATTATTAGTCCCTTTAGAATATCATTGAGTCTGTAAAAAATTCCGGAGACCGGTTTTCAAGTATCCGTTATGATAATTAATACATTCAAGACAAGCATCTAAAACAGTTCGGTGCGGTTTGCAGAGAGTTGCATTTTCCATCATTCAAAATGAGTTGGCGCCCGCCCTCACAATGGGACTTGCGGGTAATAAATTTGATAAAGTTTCACACATATTTCAGTTGGAAGTTTCGCTAAAATTTATTTTTTTTCCTAAAAATATACAAAATTGGACTAACAATGCATACAGGCAATGACTACGTAACACAGTTCCTTCAAATATCTTAATTAACTACCACGCAGTGTATTGCGAGGCGAACGAGAATCCCTGTGGCTTTTGCTGTGGTTGCACACGCTGCACTATTTTCAACTTGGTCGGTGCCACACGACGCGCCTTAATTAAACGTGCTGGTGCAGGCTCATCAGTCGGCTGGCGGCGCCCTCCTTGTGGGAAACGTTGGAAGACCAAGCGAGCTGGTTGTTGTGGCGCTGCTGCACCTTCCTGTGCGTCAAATGAGTTGCTAACCGCAACGACGGAGCCGTCTTCAGCTACAGCAACGAAAATCTCTTCACCCTCCTCCTCACCTTCATCTTGGCGCTCATCACTAATCTCCGGCTGTGGGACAATTGGTTCTTGCTCTGCAACGGCGACCTCCACCTCTGTTTCTGCTACCTCGTCAACGTCGTGCTCTGTGATGTTTTCCTCGGGCGGCAAATAGGTGTTATCAGGTGGACCATACACCGCGTCAGGTGTGATAGGCTCTTCAGTTGGCGGTCGGTAGGTGCTGTGTGGTGTTGATGGTGGCGGACCGTAAGTGGCATCCGGTTGTGGTTGAGGTGGTGGTGGTCCATAGGTATTATCTGGCGGCAAGTAGGCCACATCCGGTTTGACAGTTGATGAGGGCAAGTCGAAAGGTATTTCTGGCGTTACGCCTGCCGCAGGATAACCGGTTGGTGCTGGTGCGGCTTGTTGGCGCGCCAGGAAACGAACGCGTGCGCCTACTGGACGACGGGGCACTACGCGGAAACGGGTGGGTGCTTCGGCGGCGCACAGTGTGGCCAGCAGCAATAAAGCGATGGTTGACTTAAGCATTTTTTTCCCACAGACGTGTTGGATTTTTGTATTGTGTGTGCAGTGCTCTCCTCCTGTGTCAGAGTTCTACGCTGTGTCAGTGATGTTGCTTCGGTGTCTGTTGCGCAATTACATAGTTCAAGCTTTTATAGTACATTTTAGTGGGAAAATTAATTCTACATTTCGCCTTAAGACTCGTGCAATTCTTGGCCAGTTCGTTATGCGGTTATTGGCTTATGCATTAACGATTAACGGCCGGCTGGCTGACTTTGGGCTCCCGCTTACTCATTATTATTCTTCTTTCGGTTTTTTTTTTTTTTCAAAAATAATATTTTTGTTTTACTCTTTGCAACTTCGGTTTCGGCGTTTAATGCCATTTACGTGACGAATTTCCAAGTTGATTATGTATGCTGCCTCCATAATCATAATGTTATTGTTCACACATAAGCGTCGATTCGTTGGCGGCGAACTAGTGAACATCAGCACGGCTCATATATGCTTCCTCTCTGATCGAGGGTAATTATCGCCACCTCGTACAGTCATCAGTTCGGGCATAGTTCATTTCACAAATTCAACTCAACTAACAGCTCACCTTCTAAATCAACAACATTGTAATGTATAAATTAATTTAGTTGTTTACAAAATACCGGACAAAATATAGCTGAAATTGTTTTAAAGCCAAGCATTAACTCAAAACGCAAATTTGCCGTCAAGGCAAGCGCATAATTAATGAATAAATTAATATTCCACGCGATAACTACCAATGTTTTGCACATGACTGTATAAAAAACAATTTAATATGCGTATCTCCTTCTTAATTAATCTATTATAGCCGAATCAACATGAGGGTATCATTCCTTCTTTCTCTTCGCTGTTTGGCGCGAGTTCGAAATACCAAGTGAAACGCGGTCGTCCTGACCTACCTACCTGATCCTACCAATGGAGCAGGGCTCTTTCTCTGCCTCGACATCGACGATACGAATACTACCAAAGCTGAAGTGCTTTTATCCATTTGGGCGGCACGACCTGGTCGCTGTCTCTTGATTCCTTGATTCCCTGAAAAATGTCACTTCACATTACGTACAGCTCATGTACCCATCATCCTGGCCGATGCACAAAGGGCCATTAATCTTTCGAAAATCTTCCCTCACGAAGTCTTCAAAGGCCAACTCATCGGTTTGGCTTGTCAAGAGAGGACTTTTTATAATTTTAAGGCTGACATTATTATCAGAATTGATGCGAAACCCAAATGGGGTGACGGAACGTCAGGACCTTACTTTGACTTTCCTTAAGCATGCAATCACCATTCGAAACCCGTCCTACTCGGGTAATGGAATGTCTTTTCCACAGTATCTTATTATAGATATTCTATTACAAGGCCTTTTCCGATCCGTTTAGTACCAAACGAAGATATCAGAACATTTATCGAGAATTATAGTGAATTGTAAATGGTGAAATTACATACACTTACTCCAGTAAATGCGCACAACAAGAAACCCGACAAATAGCAAAAAGGAATAGATAAATAAAATAACAGAAGACACATAAATTCCCAACTTGCCCTAAACATCTATGCATATTTGTCTAATTTAGCTTACACCTTACCCTAATCGCATTTGTACTAATATACATTCCACAAGTACCAGGATGTATATGTATATGTACGAGTATTTCAGCTTACGTGTATGTATGTTTGTGGGTATTTATGCCCATTTGTATGTTCGTCCATTAATTTGATGTTCTTTATTTGCTGTTTTGTGATTTGTTGTATGTTGTTATTGTTTAACTGATGTCCTTGTTTCTCCATAAATACAAACAACATATGTACATACATTCTCCTTTGAGTTATTGTTGTTTTTTTTTTTGGGACTGCGATAAAGGGAAAAAGGGTCACACTTTGGAGTACAAAAGCTGAGCCTCAGACAAACTCAATTTAGGCAAAACAGCAAACGAATATATATATATATACAATGTATATATGTATATACAACACATATATTTATATGTACATCGTATTAAAGCGTTAAGCATATGTTGTTGGTTGTAGTATTGTGAATGGAAAAATTAATTCTATAAAATGCGGTTTGTGTTGATCTAAGGCCAGCCGAAAGCTGGGAGGCGAAGAGCAGTTAAATGCTGTTAGAATGACAACAATAAGAAAAACAAATAACGAATGTCTTAACTGTATATGTACTAGTATGTATGTATGGAACATATTTGCGTGCTTTTAAGCACTTCACCCACTCATTTGTCACACGATTTGAACATCCAGTGAGTTGTCCATGCATTCAAAAGGATGTGCGGCTGGAATTGTATTCCACAAGCCAAAAACAACATATGAATGCAATAAGGAGATACCTCCGTGGCTACCCCTTCGCGGGAGGAGCAGCATACATGAGTAGAATGGTTTCCAAAGGAGGGTCTTTCATACAGAGTCATGCAGGTGACTGTGATTTCGATTGATGTTTCATCCCGGTTTCTAAGTCTTCGTAGCAAAGAAAGTGCAATAAAAAAAAACTCTTAAAAAGCAGGAAATTCACCTTCGTAAAATCATTACACGCCTCGGTGAATAGGTCTTACATTCATGAGGTTCCCAGTCGTGATATTCTGAGCTCGGAATTTTTAGAGATACCCAACTGTTAAATTTTCATCTCCCACCCAGACACTGACTTTGATATAAATAAATAAAGTCCGCTCCTCGATTCGAGCAATCTCTACTGTGACCGCACCATCTCAATGTTTCGCACAGATATCTCTGTACGTCCCTTGTTAGGGCGCTCATTTTTCTAGCCACGCGAGTTGAGCTTGTTGTTGGCAGTGATTCAGATGAAGGGGAGCGATGCATGTTTTCGCTTAACGTGTTCCGATTCTTGTACTTATTTTGTGCTTATTTCATGCTTTGGTCGCAGCTGACAGCTAACGGCGATTCGCCATTGTCCGCTATTGTGTGTCGAGACGGTTGTTGTTGTTGTGTGGTTACTCCAATTGTTGTTCTTGTTGCACCACACTTTTTTTTTTTGGGTTTGTTGAACATCATTGTTGTTGCTATTGTTGTTGTAGTTTTTGGTTGAATGTGTTGCTGCTAATGTATTTTGCTCCGTAAATGTCTGGGCTCAGTATGTGGAACATGTATGTACGCGCATGTGTATGCGTGTGTGTCTGTTTGCTTGGCTGTAATGTAATTTAGGTTGACTGTTTTGAATAAACCAAGCATGTAATGAAGTTGGCTGCCTTTCGCACGGACACACACCTACTTACATCATATACCAATGACAAACAACACATACACGACATTCACCGTTAACCAGCCATCCGACCGCTGGTGCGACACAACTCACCTCAGGGCAAATCATCACACATGAATTTAACTACATTATTTGTACCTACATACTAGTATATACATACATACATATATACAAACAAATGATGATAGCTTTTCTGGTTACATGAACTTTTTCGGAGTTCGGGACCTTCACTTATTGTGCCATGCGAGTATTTGATGCTTTTGCTTTGTGCTTAATGTTTCGTTAATTTGATATTGTTGTTGCTTATTGCCGTCGCTCCATCTGCGTGCCCTGCGTGCCGTGCCTGCCGATGAAGGGGGTGAACAGCGAGTGCCGATGGCGTCAGAAAGCATGGTTGTTGGTGGAGTACATTAGTTAAATATATCGGGGCATACCCGGAATAGTAGGGAATTTCATTCGCTAAAACTTCCCGATCTCAATTCTGTCTGAAATACGAAAAGAATGAAGTTGGTTAGGTCTAGCACAACCACCCAAGCAAACAAACTTTTTGAGCCTATTGGCAGCCCTAAGAGAGCAGGCAGGTATTTAGGCGTTAGAGTGGCTCTTGGTACATTCTAGAAGTTGCGCGCTGGATGCTTAGATCATGCCAAGTCAGTAACCCCCCCTTTTGTACTTATGTACGTAGTTATAGCTGTTTTTACTTATTACGAATGGGTGTTTATGTGTGTGCATGTTTATGACCGTTAAGCGAAGTTTAAATAAAGTGCAGCTGCATTTTGTTTGCCTCCATCACCTGCCACCAATACTTATACGCCATATCCTTGGTACACTTAACTTCTTGTTTACACCCAAGCATCTGCTATATATGTACATACATATATACATGTATGTACGTATGTATGTATATATGTACGTGATATGAGTATACGTAAGATGCCGACCTTTAATTTGTCTGTTTGTCTGTTTCTACACAAGTATATGTGCACACACACATACATACGTATGTATGTAGGATTATTTATTATTAGTTCATAAGCATCCTTGAGTACATATGTAAATAAAGACGTACATACATATGTATGTTTGAGTTCGTTATGCCGTATCCTATTTCTATTTCTTTATTAAACGAGCGATGCTTGTGCGTTTGCCCTGCCAAATCATGCTATGTATGTAAATGTATGACTATGCCTTGTGTGTGTGTGTGAGTGTGTTCTCTGTTGTCCATGTCCAACGCAGCTGTTCGCTTTCAAGAGCTCAACAGACTCCTTTTGTTCATTATTTTCCACACTTAATTTTTCACATTTTATTCACTAACACATACTCGTATGCACATAGAATACATGCTTCACTTCTACATGTGGGTATAAGCTGTGATGCTGTGTTTAGCCTCGTGTCTCTCATGCACTTTGCCTCCCTTCCATCTCACCACTTTTCACAGGAAGAAAAACATCAAACTTCACTTAAATTATGTTTTCCTTATTTTGCTATTACTATTTGTTATTGCTGGTGTTGTTGTTATAATTTCAACTGCTGTTGCTGATTTCGTTCGCTCAAGGTTGTTGTTTTTTCTGGCTGCTACACTCATTATTGTCTATTAGCACAGCTGTTAAATAATTTTTAATGGCGGTACATAACATAGCATAGCATGAGCGTTACATTCAGCAATTGTATGTGTGTGTGTGTGTGTGCGTGCGCTTGTGCATTTGAGCGCCGTTTATACTAAAATATGTGTTTACTGTTGTTTCTATTACTCTTTTGTAAAAATGGAACAGCTAAGTTACTGTTAACACCTGTCCAAAACTTATAGAAGATTGTCACTTCTTCTTCTTCTTCTTCTTC